TAAAATTAAAGCCACATAAAGTATATTCTGTCGCAGCTACAAATAGTCTTACTAGACTGTTCATCTCGCTACGATCAATTTATTATATTATTATATAATTAATTTATATATACATTTTATCATTAGCTTTATTAGAGAAAGCAAAACAACACATTAATTTTTTAAATTCTTGTTTACTTACAGAACAGCATTACGCAGCAGCTGATTCCAACAGTTCGACGCCCGCTAAGAGCTTCGTACCCTGCAAAGTTTGTGGCGATAAGGCGAGCGGTTATCATTACGGCGTTACCAGCTGCGAAGGTTGCAAAGTGAGTATCGAAAATCCTATAATCGAAAGCAAACAAAAAAGCAAGTTAAAATTTAAAAACTAAAACATAGCATGCAAGCTATAAACATCTACAAGCTGTAACGTCTACGTTAATTTTTGTATAATAATAATCGAAAGAAACAGTGGAACATTTCGCGTTAGTCGTCACATTTTGCGATCATTTATGCTAATAATTTGTTAAGAAAAATCAATTTTAGGCAGCTATATTTAAAATTATGTAAAACACGTAATTTTAATTTTAATCCGTTTCGCTCTGCTATTTAATTTCTAATCTTCAATTCACAATCCTTAATCTTCAATGCATGATATGATATGCATTGAAAATTAAGAATTGTTAGATTAAAGATGCTTAACGTGATTGGAAAAAAGATTTGTTAAAATAACTAAAAATTTCACTGATTCAGCAAATCTACAGTCGTAATATACGGTCAGTCCGTTTTCTTTGTTAAAGTAATAAAATTGTACAGCTGAATAAAATTAGTTATTATCGGTAATCATATTTGTTGTAATAGCACAGTAATTTTATTAATATACCAAAGATAATCTTCTGTGAAAATTAATCCAATATATAAATCGAAATTTTTAACAAAGGATGTTGGCTAAGAGATATTGCGCTTACTTTTGTTACTGTAATGAAGAAAATTTGTTTAATTAATAATTTTCCTTGTTATAGAAAGAATAAACTGAATTACAGTATACTGATAATAGCTTACAGACATAATTTCTTTGTTGAACCATCAAATCTTCTTAGTTATAAATATTAAACTCGCGTAACAAGATATAGCTTTGCTGTACCACCCAATTTATTTTTTTCCGTGATATGATTCGTTAGTTTTATAAACCCAATTTTACATGACTCGGGAAGCAGCTGGGACTTCATTCCGCGCGGTTCACTATCGTAACAAGCTGAAAGAGAATTGTTCCACGCGCAGAATTATAAAAGAGAAGCTTGAGACGAAACATCGTTATAGTTGCTCTTAACTTCCGATATCTTGCGGAATATTCGCCGATCGGTTTGACCTCGCGGCGCAGCGGTGGGTCGAGTACAATTTACAACTCCAATCCGCAAGGATGCATGACGATCAGGTAATAATCCGCGAAACGACTCGTTCGCACTTCGGGGCAGGATATTTATCGGTGCGCGCACTCACGTCTTAAGCATCGTGGGAGATGCACATCCGCCGCGAAACGCCCGTACGCCGCTGCACGCCTGAGATTTCAAATGCGGAAGCCCTAAGGCCAGAGTTAACGGTGAATTGGTGCATTCTCTTATTCGCTAGCAGCTAGTTCTGCGGGCAAATGTACGTAGATACATATAAACAGGATTTTGCCGTGGAAAGTTCGCCTAAAATTAGCTGAAAAGTCCTCAAGCGCAATTCATCCTCATAAACGTAATAAAAATGAAGATGATAGCGTAGATGATTTCTAGTTCTACACGGAAACGACGATTTTGCTGAAACATCTGAACATTAAGCTAAATATTCATATATATATATATATAGAAACTTGAAAATAATTTTGTTGGACAATTACAATAATTATGTAGCAAACTGATTGCTAGAACGTTGAAGTTTTTGTAACATTGCTCATCATACTTCATATTCCTAATTCCTACGCAGTTATTTTGATGATGCAACGAAATTACTTTCAGATCTGTATCTAGCTAAATTCTTATAGTTACTTCAGCAAAATCATTCTTTCCTTGTATAAAGTTGTCACTGTTGGTTTAAAAAGAGTGAGCTTGAATCATATAGCTCTCTTTCTCTCTTCCTAAAGAGTTGAAGAAAGATGTTGAAGAGAGATACTGATATGATTCACTTCTTTCTAACGAAGCACAGATGTTAAGATCAGAGAATGTGTAGTCTGTATTTGTTACGTCTATGTTCGTCCTCGAAGTAACTTCTGTGTAACGAAAAAAAAGTTGACATCCAGGAACGTCTTCAATATCGTCCAAACGGCTGCATCAGCACTGTTAAATTCCTAACGTCAAATTATACCCAATTTGAATTATTTTTTAATCATTTCTATAGATCGCCACTGTTCCTATTCAATATATCACTAATTTAACTAAACAATAGAGTTCAATAATTTAATTCAATTAATATATTAAACTGTATTGAAATTTGGTTTATTATTTATTAAGTGCATGCATTAATATATGGATATTATTTATTTTGAAATTAACCACAGAGTAGATTTACATTTTGGCATACGTTATAAACAATACTTAAAAATAACAAAACATCATTTAATTCAAGGAATTGGATTACCATTGCTCTTTTAATATCTAACAGTATATATTTGGCTGTGTATAATATTCGTATTTCGAGATATGCATTAAGCGAATATTCGATAATATTTGGCATCACAGTATTCTCTTTTCCAAGCCGAGAACCGAAGTCATTTAAATAAAACTTATATATGTTGATAGGAGTTTCTCAAATTAATATTTGATCTGGTTTATATATCAATATCAAATAATATCAAATTATCAATAATATAAAGTTTATGATTAATAATATGAATAATAAAACAAATTTTGCGCATACAGCTTATAAATTGTAATTTAAACTGCAACAAATCAATGAACCGGCTTGCCATTGTTTCGCGTCCGACTGGGCTATTACTACTGCGCTGCTACATTCGTCTGACTCGCATCGCGTTTTTACTACTAGCTGAATGTACGCGGTTTTTCATGCTGTTCGTCTCTCCTTTATTCTCCACGTGCAATATTTATTATTGTACAAAACTCTAGCTTTCTCTTCCAGCTGTTTTATAACGTGAACATCTTGTGCTATACAAATCTTCTGCAGACGATAACGAGATTTTTATGGAGTTAAAATACATAAATCTTGTTCTCAAAATTTTTTCTTAACGGCCGGATTTTTTTTATAATTTTGAAAGAATTCGTATATAATTACGTAATATAAATTAAATAAATGTTATCGAAATAACTTTTTAAAAAAATCTTAATTTTTATTAAGCAAAATCAATTGTAATCTATTTAAAATTTTAATTTCAATTTAAACATCCTGTATATATTTTGTTCTTTTTTGTAATAAAGTAATTTTTATCATAACGAGATAATAAATTACTCTGTTAATTATATACTTAATTAAATTACTTGATTAATTATTAAAACATTTAACGCGTTTTTGTAATTTTTTTCAAATATGTATATTTAACTTATAATATTGATTTATCAAATTAATTATACCATGATTATTTTTTTCTGTCTCTGGTTGACGAGGACAGACAGACGTGTTATAATATATATCGATTCTCTACACAAACGAACTGAGGTCGCGCGCGCCATTGGTTACCAGTAATATCGACAGTTGCATTACGAGCAGTCCGTCCATCGGGGATTCCAGGATATTGGATGCTGGATGTACGTTAGCGTTGTTGCATGATGCAGTTACGAATACCTTTCATCAATTAGCACCGATAGTAATATGCCAATAAATCGATGCTTTCTCGATTGCTCCCGCCTCATCCATACGCCGTTTCCATTATTCCATTACTTCCGCGTGAGCTTCTCACTTCGTAAAGCCATAGCTGGCTGTTCTTTACGTAATATATACATATTAGTGAATATGAAAAATAAGACCCTAGGCTATATCAGAATTAAGCACCCGACAAACATTCGACGTATATTATATTTAACTAAAATATACTATAACTAAAATATGAATAAGCCCTCTAAATTTCTTAGAGTGAAATCTCACTCTAAGAGAGTGAAAATACAGCCATTTTTGGCTGTGAAAATATTTCATTTTTTGAAAAAGAGTGACAATTTTCACTTTTTTAAGTAAAATTCGAAGAAAAGTGATAATGTTTTTTGAGCGAAAATTGTCATTCACTTTCAAGAAGTGAAATATTTTCACTCTTGTCCAAAAATGGCTGTATTTTTATTCTCTTGGAGTGAGATTTCACTCCAAGAAATTTAGAGAGAAAAACAACAGTTATTTCAAAGATTCTTATTAATATTAAGATGTGGCGATCATATCGCCCACCGATCCTCGGCCGAACATGCGAAACGGCTCGAAATGTTTGGGCGCATACATACTCGAACATGTATTCGAGGTAATAGGGGCATTTAAATTTTCTTTTACATAAGTTTTTCGCAGCAATTCGAACTTCTTTAGAACCTTCGTAATATAGACATTTAACTGTTGCAATTATAATATTCAGAAATAATAGTTGTGCAGGCATCTAATTGTAGCCTAAAATTTAAACAAATTCAACCACTAGAAATAACTAAAAAGCGAGATAAACTAAAGGTCTGTTCTTTATTCCTTTACTGTCTGAATAGGTGCACACGGTGCAATAAGTTGAAGTGAAACAAATATACGTTTGTTTCGTTTCAACTTATTGCACCGTGTGCATCAGTTCAGGTAGTGCAGGAATAAAGAACAGATCTAAGATCAATAGAAACGGGTGAGAAAATATTTATAATAGAAGGATTTCGAAGGAGAAAAGGCTTAGCAGTAACGTATCTCGAGAAGAAAAGATCGTGCACTGTCAAATCTATAATGTCATATTTAACCTAACGTGAGTCGCCACTGCTCCTATTAAATATATCGTTATTTTTTTACCAATATCATGTCAATTTGACATTATATTATATAGTGTCAATTTGACATTGTATAGTGTCAAATATAATCATTGTTTTAGTATAAAATAATGATATGATTGAGTAGGAGCAGTGGCGACTCACGTTAGGTTAAATTTGACACTATAGATTTAACAGTGTACAAAATGTTACAAATTATTGTGTAATTGACATTTTTACTTCAATAATATGTACTTTGACTTGCATTTTTATTTACATCGTTTTGAAATTTTAACAACTTTAACACGATTTTTTTTATTAGAATTATTTAATTAAACATTTTTACAAAAACTGCTCATATCTTATTACAATAATTTTTTGTAGAATTTTTGATAGTTTGTAAGAAAATAAATTTTTCGTTTTTTCTAAAAAATTTTAAAAATGGTACTTAAATGTTTTGTTATGGCGAGCCTATTAAAATAATTAACGTTGGAAATTAAGAATTTAAATGAAAACCATCTTCAAAGTCTCCGCCGAAGAAAAATTAATTTCTTTCACGGAAAAAGATATTCAGAAAAATATCTAATAATTTTACTGTATCCAAAGATATACAGCGGGTTACCTAATTATCATTTATTTATAAATGATAATTTATTTATAAATTTTGACATAATCACAATTTTTCATCTGCATGGGAAAATGCACGATTTTGAACGATTTTGGATTTAATTATCAAAATACATAGTTAATGTGTTGAAAATTAAAAATTTAGTAAATGGTAGCCATTTATGAAATCTCCGCCATATAGAGATATAGCGTATTGTTTAATTATCATTTTTTATTATTATTAATTGTGTATGTGTGAACATACAAATGTTCTGAGATGTAATTGTAACAGAGAATTTCCCATCACGGAAAATAAGCAATATAATACGGAGCGTGTTCGAGAACTTGCTTTTCTCATGAGCGCGTTTTCCGTTAGCTATCTCGCTTTTCCTGTATCCTCGATGTTACAAAGAAGAGCACGGAGTGTCGTATTTTATACATGAGGAGATATAATTAATCCCGCGACGGTCTATAGGATTGTTATTAATAGCGCTTCCTTACTTCCTGTTTCAGGGCTTCTTCAGAAGGAGCATACAGAAGCAGATAGAGTACAGGTGCTTGAGGGACGGCAAGTGTCTTGTCATCAGATTAAATCGGAACCGTTGCCAGTACTGCAGATTCAAGAAGTGCCTAGCAGTCGGCATGTCCAGAGACTGTAAGTACCGTGTTCGCGCTACGTTTAACAATTTTTACACTTCGTCTAGTCTAGACAGTCGGCAAATTCTGAAACGTATCAATATCGAAGAGACTACCGAGTAACATTATCAAATATTTAATCCATGACATACAGTTTCTATATAAAGAATTCCTTATAAAGAAATTGATAATCAATATTGCATACATTTTTTAAAGGATTGTAAAATCTTTTCGATCTCTAAATCTTTTTCGAGCTTTTTTGTTGATGTTATCTTATATCACCTTATTATATTACCTTATTTCATATAAAATATATCAAATATGAATTTATGAAATATATTGATGAATTTATGAAATATATTATGTACCTATTTAAAAAAATTATTTAAAAATGTGTTGTAAAATAATAAGCAGCAACTGTAGTACAAAATTATACGAGACATAAAAATGCATATATTTTCTTTTTTTTTTATGATAGCAGAAAATTGTATAAAATTTTTAAAACAGTTGATGAATCGTTTAAATTAATTTAAATATAGGTAACTGTGCATAGACAGAGAGAGAGAGAGAGAGAGAGAGAGAGAATGTTTAAACATATCAAAAATTAAAAAATGTTTTGACGATCTTATATGTTATTTGTCAGTTATATTTGTATATGCCGAGTACGACGAGTCGACTCTTTGATTCTTCACGCGTGTGTCGGAAACGAGCTTACGAGTCCACGGCGCCGTTAGAAATTCAAACAGAATTCTACGAGATCGCAATTCTAGCCGTCAGTGATGCAAAATCTACTTGCCACCCGTGTCGAGAGAGTAAAGTAAACCAAAGGGCAGGCGTGTACATAATTAAACGTCAGAGTTCCAGGGCGCAATACCGGTCTACGTGTACGACGTACGAGCTGCGAGTACCGCTTCATCATCGTGTCACGTGTCGCAAACGAAATTGTAACGAACTCACGTAGACTCGCGTAGACGCGGGTGTAATAATCTAGAGGAACGCAAACGAGATGACTTCCATTTAAATCCGCGGGACTTAACTTTCAGAAATGTTTAAACTTTAAAATATCTTCAGATTACGGCGTTTAAATCAGGAGTCCATGAAACTAAAGTCTACCTGAAATTATTTGGACCGTGAGACTTTATTGTCTATGTCCTTGAATCGTGATTCGCTAAAAATCGGCTGCGATCTAAAAACTACTCTTTCTTGATATTTGCGCGAAAAAAAATCATTTCAATTTTTAAAAAGAAACACTGTTAAATATCAAAAGAGCAATGGTAACCCAATTCCTTGAGTTAAATAACATTCTATTATTTTAACTTACACATATGTCAAAATGTCAATCAGTTCATTTCTATAATATGGTTAGTTTCAATTTAAATAACGTCTGTATTAATACGTATATACGCTTAATAAATGATAAATTTAAGTTAAATTTAATACATTTTTTTTTTAGTTAAAGTTTAACTCTAATATTTTAGTTAAATTAAGGGGTTATATCTAGTTAGAAATTTCAAAAAAATCACATTTTCTTGAAGTATATATTGTTAGAAATATTCCCTCAAAATTGTAAGTTGATCCGCTGTATTTTTACGGAGATACGAACTTTAGTACGTTACTGTGCATTCCTCTGAGGGGGACGAATATCATCTCGGTCTATCTGCCTGTCAGGTCATCTATTGTGTTGCTATGTATACTTGTGTTAGTAAATACGAACCTTCTAAGACATTGTAAGCAAATTCAACGGACTTTTTGACCATCGCAAGCACGAAACCCGGAGACGCTGACAGTTATAGCAGTTATCATCGAGCTATTTGAAACTTTAAACACGTTTTTCTCAAAACTATATTTTCAAAATCGGTGAGTAGAATATCTCAAAAACCACTGCACTGAGATCAATCTGAAATTTTACATGTTTTTTTTTAGGCATGTAAATCTAGTCTTTGATCGAAGGATTTTTTTTTCAATGCATACTTTTTTTTTAATGGACGAAAAATGTCCAATTTTTTTCATGAAAATCGAAATGTCAACTTTGAATAGCCGTCATTTTGTTGTAATTAAATTTTTCGGAATATCAATCGATTAAAGACTAGGTTAATTTATATATTAACTAAATCTTTTGAATTTTTTCATTTCACATAACTTCCCAGATAGTTCATCATCAAAAGCTACGTGTTTGTCTTGTTGGCATATTGCTTGCTAAGTATGCATTGCTAAGTATTTGTTGCTACCAGAATTGCAGCAACTGAGTCCTCATTTGTTGGCAACTTGATGTCTTCACGATATGATAACATTGAGTAGCAACTTGCCAGTAATTAAAACAACTTTAAAATCGTCATCATCAAAATTCGTACTATCGCCATCATGTTGCATAATAATATGCAGCATTATACAATACTATCATATTGCCGACAACGTAAGATAACATTGATGTAGCTATCTTGCTGTTAAACTGCTAGCAATACGTATACACATTGTTGTCTGCATGTTGCTACAATATTCGAAATCGTTGAAGACAAATCTATGGCAAGTTGTCAGCATCATAACCAATCACAGATTTGCGAGATTTTGCTGAGACACGCTTTGCTATCTGGGTTGGTTCCGAATGACAGTGCAAAACGCATTTTGGAAAACGGCTTTCCGGACACTAGCTATAACTTATTTATTTATTAATATTTTTACATTAAAAAAATATGAAAACTTTGTCAAAGTAGGTTCTTTCGAACATAAAACATTTCATACAGATATGTGCATATACTTTTTTGAAAAAAATTCACGAAAATTCATCTTTTTTCGGCCTTCTAACTAAATATAACCCCTTAATGACATATTGAGCAAGAGCAGTGGCAACATAGAAATGACAAAAAAAATAACTCAAATTTACGAATTTAATAGCATTTTCCAGAGAAAACTGGTGCAACACCAGCGCCGTGCTAGATTTCGATGAAAACTGCACTAGTGAAAACTGCACAGTATCTAAATAGTACAGGTTTAGTGTGGCTCAGTGGAACATATCAAAACATCTATTTTATAATACCTAAAAATGTATAATAACTATGTTCAAACTTATATTACTTATTTTACAATATTCTGATTTATTTATTTAAACCTTTTTTTTTAATTAATTTTTTTACGTTTCAATACTTTTAAACGTCAAAATATCGTTGCGTAGCTATTGTATAAACATCAAAATTAACACATCATTGTTATGACATTAATTAGAATAATGTAATATCATATCGTAACGTAATATCATACCTTAGCACGAATCTAACTTACGATACTTAACATGAACATAACCTCAATTTCAACTTGCACCGGTCTCCACTGACTTGAAAGACGGTGGAGAAAAAGTTGAACTCACAAGGGAAGTTTCATAACTATCCGGAACCGATTTGATTCTCCATGAAATATGTTGTTAAACACGAAAATCTAAGAGAGAGGCGCGTATTTTTTTATACGTGCGCTAATTCATGTTTAAGGGGTGAAACCCCCCTTTGAAGAAAAACGGTATTTCTATTTCGAGCCGAATATCATCGGGAGTATAAAAGATGGAAAAAAATTTTTTATACTTCCGACGGTATTCGGCTCGAAAAAAATAGAAATACTGTTTTTCTTCAAAGGGGTGTTTCACCCCTTAAACATGAGTTAGCACATAACATTTTGAAAAGTTTACTTAAGATCACTCGTTTGAGAAATAAAAAATTTTTAATAAAATAAAAGATTTTACGTGCTTTCGTTGGAGGAATATTCGCAAAAATATCTTGAATTTTATCGCAGCTTTTATTTACAAAAATTATATAAATATTAACGAAGACCGCCGCAAGGAACGAAAAATATATGTAAATAATTCAATATCTCGAGATCTCCCCAATGATCACATTCTGTTCATCTCTTTGCAGCCGTGAGATACGGCAGGGTGCCGAAACGCTCGAGAGAACGCGGCCCCGAGGACACGATGGCGACGACCATGACGACGACGACGACGACGACGACGATGGCGGCTATGGAAATGCAGCAACTGACTACACCCGATACCGGCAACAACAATGCCAGCAACAAGAACAACAATAACAACAACAATAACAACAACAACAACAATAACAATAACACCCAAAGCCAGAACGCGATCTCACGGGTACCGTCGGCGGCGGTGGTCGAGGCTGATCAATCAGACGCTGACGTGAAGCAACTGGCTGTATACGATGTGATTCATCAGGTCTCGCAGGCTCATCACGCTCATTGCGGCTTCACGGAAGAGTCCACCAGGGGCCTCACGAGAAAACCTATGATAATACCGGTGAGCCATTAGAAAATGAAAAAGGAAACTAATCCGTTGCGATTTAAAACGTCACCGCTCTAAATCAGTAGTCGTCATATAACAATAATTTAAACATAATAGTAATTAAACAGTAAGTGAAAATTGACCCAGAAATGTCCAACACAAATAAGCAAAAAATATTCGGTCAAAGCAGGTCTTCTAATAACTAAATTCAATAAAATAAAGATCTATATGTTTTTTTTTATTTATTCACAATAAAGATCTTTTCCGAATCGATTGAAAGAATGAAAACTTTGCGATATGTCTCGTTGTCTTTTTGACGTAGAACGGAATTAGTTTAATTTCTCATTACGTTAGCGCGAAGACTTCCCGCTGGAAGTGGTAGCAAACTCGCAGATTTGTTTGTAATCTTGCTGATTAGGCGAGTAATTCTTCGCAGCCCGCGAGCCCGGAAGATCCAGAAGCGGCATCCTCGACCGCGGAGACTGTTGAGTCGCAAAGGATCTGGTTGTGGCAGCAATTTGCCACTAGAGTGACACCGTCGGTACAGAGGGTAGTGGAATTCGCAAAACGGATGCCGGGATTCTGCGAACTCTCGCAAGACGACCAACTGATCCTGATCAAAGTCGGCTTCTTCGAGGTGTGGCTCTGCCACATCTCCAAAATGACCACCGATAATTCGATGACTTTTGAAGACGGCACTTACTTCACCCGCCAGCAACTGGAACTGATGTACGAGGTAAGATTAAAGCTGTAGATCAATACAGTTTAACTTGTACTAATTTTATCTTATTTTCGATGAAGTAACACACTTGTACTTGTTTCCCTAAGTCTCAGTGAAATTCGTAGTTTCGAATTTATGGATTCCGAATTCGTTCTTTATCGCGTAAAATTTACTATTTTTTTTCTCTATCGAGAAATAAATTGAAAATAAAATAATAAATTTAGGCGTTTTTCGCATTTTCAGTTTTGTCTTTCCTTTACTAAATCTAATTTAGTACTAGTCAATTTTTAACACTTCGGTGTCACATTACGGAAATGACACACTTGGGTATAGCATACCCAATTCAATTCGATTGCTTATAATTAACTTTTATAAAAATAAACATATTGTAAAATTTTTTTTCAATCGAAACACCAGACATTAAGGAACATATCGGTATTAAGTAAATTTATTTGTTTTTATTAATAAAAAGTTATAAACAATGGAGAAAGCATTAGAAAAAGAAAACCAGCTACTATCCAGAGTGACATCGAAGGATTAATATTGAAAGATAGTGATTAATTACTTATTTTAAATATTAAAAATACAACAGTACTTTTAATATTCAAACTAAGTAATTAATTACTTTCCAGTATTAAATTTCTGTAAAGATTATTATTATATTATACGATCGTTGTTTTATTCGACTATTTACGATCGACAGCCCGACTTCGTGTCCGCACTGATGCAAGTCACGTCGTCGTTAAATGCCCACCAACTGACGGACACCGAGCTCGGCCTGTTCTCGGCGGCGGTGCTGTTGAACGAACGACCAGGACTGAACGACGTCAAGGCCGTTCAAAGGCTGCAGGATCACGTCCTGGAGGCACTGAGAGTGCAGACAACGCGACCCTCCGGTGAAGGTGCCGGCGGCACCGCGATCACCAACGTCTCGCAAAGGATACCCGAACTGAGAGCGCTCGGTGCCAGACATGCCAATCTCCTAGATTGGTTCCGCAGGAACTGGACGAAGCTTAAATTACCGCCGCTGTTCGCCGAAATATTCGACATTCCCAAATGCGAGGAGGATTTGCAATGAAAAGGTAATCTTCAATAATAAATAGAGACCGGTTGTGTGAATGAAAGGGGGGAAGTGAATTTTGATTTATATTCAGCGAGGCGAACGCTTCGTGAAGATATGAAAGCATTCGCTTACGCTCGAAGCATTCGTTTCTATGAACAAAATGACAGCGATAACACCGTGAAAAAGATACGAGCAATGAGAAGCGCGAATTCTGTATACTGCTGGATAATCGATAACTGTCCTGACTGCAATGACATTTATAAACGAATGCTTCAAAAGAGTATTCATACGAAATACATATGTTTACGCTTTATGATTTAACTTTTAAACGCGTGCTCGCTTTTATCTTTCCTTGTTTCACTTTTATTCATATTATTCAATGTAATTCCAGTTTTCCTCGCTTTTGTTCATTTGATAATTTGATACTTTTAATAATTTGATGTAACGCGCAAATAAAGTCTGCAAATGTTTGATTTTTCGTCACTTGTACCATGATCGTGATTATAAAATAACAGTGCGAAATCGGCACGAACTTTTATAATAATCCAATATAGTAATACAGTTTTAATTATATCTTAATGCAACATTGCGTCAAATAATTTAAAATTAAATTAACAAATCTACGGGTTTTTCGCGAATCGCGTCTGCTTCGACCGCTTTAACAAATTTCTGTACAGATATTAGTCTAATTTGTTTCATTATTATTTAATTATCTTGATGAATTAAATTTTGTTGAATTATTTTATTTAATGTATCCAATCTTAAGCTCTTGGATTGTCGAATACAGCGAAATATCCTTTGTTTAGCAGCCTCTATAAGCTACAGCGAGGTAATTCGAGACCAATGATGCCGTGGTGTCGACGATAAATCGAGCCCAGCGTTTACCGAGGCCGTTCTGAATATCTAGAATCGTTTTAACTCATAGAGTTAGCGAAATACATCCAATACGATGACGAGATCCAAATTGAATGAAGAACGGGCGGTTGAAACGAGGAACGAAGTATGCCTATGAAGATTGTCTATCACAAGAGATATTAGAAAATTAGAGAGAGAAGAAAAACAAAGACGCAATTGTCGACGACTATCGTTAATGGCGATTCCCATTGACTTGTCTCGGTTATTCAAAAGTCAGCGGAAAAGGAATTTTGGTCGGATGATCGCCGATCGAAAGAAATTTGCGTACTAGAAAATTAAAGAAAAAGAGAAAGAAAATTACAGACGCAATTGTTGATTATCTGAACAGTGAGATCGCGCAGCGGACGGTAGCGTGAACTTCTAACGATCTTTTAGGGAACATCCCTTGAAATGTTTTGATCGTTCCAGCGAATAACAGAAGATGATCTCAAGAGACGAGAAGATTACCTTTAAAGAGTCGCGCAAGCAATAAGACGGAACTTCTCCGTGCAAGCTCCGCGCTTGCAAGTTCGGAGGAAAATTCGCAATTTGCTCAAATTCAACAGAAACGGCTTTGTACTATTCGCCAAGCAATAGCACATACGCATTACAGCAAGCGGGTCTTCGAACGGGCGTATATTTGAATGAAATACTCAATCAACGAGGGAGGGATCTTTCGCGCCGCTTTGCCATCGCGCCAAGTAAATGGCTGTTTTAACGAGCGTTGCGATGAGAAAATAAGCACAAAAGCGTAACAGAATCATGGACGTCCGTTCGTGCTCAAGATTCTGTCCTTTGATTTTTCTTTCTGTTTCTTCAAATAATTCTAAGACTTAAGAATATATATGTATATAATAAATATATACAGCGTGCAGTACCCGTCTGAGCGGCTAGAACGGAAATCGGCCAAATGATAGCATCAGAAACACCAACTATATTCAACGGACATATCAGAAATTAAGATTACAAAGTGTTCCCTCGTGTATTATTATCGTTGCTGAGCACGTACGTGTCTCTTTGGAGGTGTTGCAGCCAGCGTAATCGTGATCAGTTCGAATTTCAATGTTGCAGACACGTGAAAAAAAATTAATTTTTAATAAACGATATATTTCAGAATAAAAAAAGAGCGCTAATTTTTTTTAATAAAAATTAAATATAGCATGTTTTTCCTATTATATGCTTTATAATTATTCATAATAATAAGACTACCCACAAGTTGCCTGCAGATTGCTGTCCATTTGCTTGAAATTGCTCTGCTTAAGTTGCTTCTGTATCAAGGAAAATGGCTTCTGGTTTTGCCTGTTGGATTGCCGATTTTTATTGCCACTAATAATTATGAACAATTTGATGATAACTCAGGTAACGGTTTGCCCTTTTTCCAACAGATTGTAGCAACTTTTATAGCAATAAGAGTGTTACAGCATTTTCGCTCATTTACGCAGACAACCGTTGTCCGCATAATATCTTTAGGTTGCCCTAAACTATTGTTCCGATAACGGCAACTGAAAGGAAACTTGTGCCAAGCAATTATTTCTTTTCTTATACTAAGGGCGAATTCACATTTTGACGGAAAAGCAGAAAGCGGAAAAGCAGTGGCCAATCACAACTCGCGTTGGTAGTAAGTAACACAAAAAGTCGAAATTGTCGAATACCAGCGCGAGTTCTGATTGGCTGCTGCTTTTCCGCTTTCTGCTTTTCCGTCAAGGTATAAACGCGCCCTAAGGAACGCTTGGCTATTTGGGAGATTCTTAATTGTATATGTACATGTTGTATAATTATACAAAAGATTAAAATGCCTACTGAATTGATACATAGTTTTAATTTCATTTGCTAGATTCTTAAATCTAATTGGCCAGTCGAGATACATTTTTCTGTGTCCCCAACATTGAAAATCGAACTTGCCATTTTCGATCTTTGATTTGTTGCGACACCGGAGGTGATGATGAACGATTGTATGACCGCGTAAATGTAACAAAACGCGATTGAGCACGAGGCTCGCGCGATTTAAACGCGCATTCATATACGCATACAGCAGCTATGAGCTTACGTATGTAATTAAAGGCGCACAAGCGCTGAGAGGGAGCGTATACAAATTTCATGCTATAAAGCTCGAGAAATCTTTATAGGAACGTATCTTCTTATAGACGCATCTGCTACGAATTTCAATCTATGCAATCTCTATTTTTATTACTCGACAAGTAGAATAGCGAATTATATCTCGATATACATATATATAATTATATAATTATATAATTATATATATATACAATTATATATCGTCGCGCAACGCTTCGGGAGGCTGTTCCGGGTGGAAACACGTAAAACAGAACCGGAACGCAAATGGCGATTCGGAATAAAGTTCCTCAATTAATCCACGCAGAATAATTTGCACGTTTACTCGTCGCGACAAACCGCGTGTCTGTGATCTGTAAATCGCGCCTCCCGAGAGAACGGCAACGAGTCCGGCTACTTTGTACACATGTGTACATACAAAAATTTGCGAAAAACGCGATGCGTACCGGCAACACACAGCCCGCGCATACACACATGACACCCGACACACACGCGACATCCAGAGAACTCTGAGCCCGACTCCACGATTCCGTGCGGAACCGTCCTGTGGCGAGCGCGACCAGCTCTTCAAACTTTAAACACTACTAATAAACTTTCTGACAATGACTAGCGTGTAATACATAACAATATATGATCGCAGAGCGCGCGCGCGCGCGTGTGCGTGCGTGCGTGTGTGCGTGCGTGCGTATGTGCGTGCACGTACTTGTGCACTTGTTTGTGTGCGTGCATGTGCATCTGTGTGCGAGTGCATCGAAATACTCATCCGTGAAACGTGAAATAAGAGAGCAAAAAGAAGTTTATTGATATAGATATCACTGTTTTATCTAATATACGCCGGGCGTGCTTAAAATAACGACGTTAACCCGGTTTATTATCGCTATCACTCAAATCGAAAGAGAAATCGAAGATGCTGTCCTTGCGATATTAAGGGAAGGAAGGAAGAATTTCCAATCTTTATCACTCTATCTCTTTTTCTCGCTCTTTCTCATTCTTTCTAAGCGCTCACATCAAGTTGTGAATAAACATATCATACTTAATTAATATATTGGACAAAGAGGATATCATCGTTTAATATAATATAAATATATATACAAATATATATATAGGAGAAATATATATATGTATATTACAAAGGAACATTATATTGAAGCTATATTACAAAAAAAAAAGAAGTAGCTGTTAATTAACGCGTTAATGTCGAGCGAATCGCAAGGTAGGACATATCGGTGATTACAACGCAACAATCACGATCACGTGGTAGTGTTCTCCCGCTTTTATATTCTAATCGGGCAGTGGAAGGTCTCTCGTGATTCAATATAAGTCGAGTGTACGTGACTTGGCATTTATTGATCGTCATATTATTTCCACTTTTTATCCGATCATTGCCAAACGAGAAAAATGTCGATTAAAATTTCAGGGTTTTGAATAAAATTTCGAGAGAGAATGTGAATGGCGAGAATCAACAGTGACATCGCAATATCCCTTAGTTCGTTAAAATTGAAGGCATAATTTTTCAATTTCTTTGAAGGAATTTGATGTCCGAAAAAAGAAAAGAAAGCGAAAGAAGAGATAAAAAAATTAAAAAAGGAAGATAAAAATCCTCTAATTATTAATTTTTTATTATATTACTCTCTTAGTGTAAATTAAAAATGAGAGAAACATGAATCAGTGACAAATAGATAAATATACCACTCTCTTCCGAGATCGACACTTTTCTCCAGTTACGTCACGATCGTATTCTTCAAAATTTCTAGTCCCACGAAAATTATTCGCCGAGGTAGCAATCATGAAATGAAGAGGTGTTCTGGCGAGCGTTGCTGGAGTATATAATTAAACGGCCAAATACATCATAGTAATAATATAGCGTAATATTGTATTATTATGATAAAAGCAAGATAATTCTCTATCTGTCTCTATCTCTTAGCGACGGCGCCGGTCAATCGTCCTTCGTCATCCTTGCGCAGCGCCGATAGTGTTCCTTCGTGTTCTTGGCCGGTTGTTCGCGCGCGATGATGCTCCACTTTTAGGGATGTGTCCAGATCCCTTCGCCCTGATCTCGCCCAGATCTTTCATTCTGATCGCCGGCGGCCCTTCGTTCTTCGACTTCTCGTAGCATAAACGCGACGATTGGCCGGTAATAAAGGAAAAAACCACGCACGATATAAAAAATCGAATTGATGTGTTTGAACGATAATTGGAGTCTCTGGAGAAATTTTTTTTCTAGAATTCTTCATATAATTTTTCAGAATTTTTCATAATTTCTGTATAATTTTTTTAGAAAACTTGGATTTTTTTTATACAAATTAAAACACTTCAGAAATACTGATAAAATCTAAAATTTTTTTCTGGATTTCTTCATATAAATTCTGAAACATTATATTTTAGGATTTCGTAAGATTTCTCATTCTATTATTTCTGAAGAAAACTTACTTTGAAAAAGTTTAAAGTACTATTTTAGAAATCTTCATACCTTTAAAATATAATAAATTCTTAAAAATATTACGAGAAACTTTTCATTAGGGATAAGAATCTTTTTCTTCATGGGAAAAACCGAATAAAAGCCGAACCGCAGACATTGATAAGTAAATATTTATTTCCAATGTATACAAGACTGAGTTTACCATCAAGAGATCCAGAGTAGATCGAAATCATTATAGAAATAGTCATCAACATATATGTATATTTTCCACCAATATCTGCAGTCTGGTTCTTATTGGCCTTTTTCCTATTTCATGTCGAAGAGCATTTCATGTTTCTATTCTGTTGAACTTACTAAATCGACTTGAAAGGACGACTTTCTTGTCTTTCTCTGTCGGTCGAAACACGAGAAAGAAAAACGGAAAATTGAGAATGTGAAACATCTCAATTTCCCCTTTTTCTTTCTCATGTTTCGACCGAAACGAAAAGTTCTTTTAGTCCTCTCTCTCTCTTTCTCTCTCTCTTCAGCCCGTCCTCCTTCCGCCACCCCCTGGACTCTTTTAATTTGATCCTTCGCTTTGTCTCTTTTAGGTTTCGAGATTCGAGATTTCGGTCATGGTGCTATAGTATCTCTATATGTACATATATACTTATATACAAATCGTTGGTTAATCAATATCGTACGATTAATATTATTGCGGTTAAACTCCGATTATTATCGCTGTGCTCCTCCCACTGCTATTATCATTATCATCGATATGTTTATTATCATTAGTACTACCATCATTATAAATATTATTACGATTATTATTGCTAAAGATATTATTATTATTATTATTGCTACATTGATTGTACTTATTAGTGATTATGATATCGACGTTATATATCATCAGCGGCGCTATTTAAGTCAAGAAAAGGCAAACGCTAGAATGATAAGATGGTCCAGACAGTTTTTTAAATACTTCTATGTATTCCGCCCGCAATTGCTAAGACTACATAATAATTATTCTTCGGTTTAATGTAGAATATCTCGGTTATATGCGTTGCATTTATGCATATCTGTTCTCTTCGACACTCAAAAGCAGCGACATATACATCCATAAATATACATATATGAGCCACAAAAATTCGTACAAGATTCTGCCAACAAATTCTGTGGAGCCAATTTCTCCCTGACTCAATTCGTTACCAGTTCCATTTTATCAGTGCATTTTTGTTTCATTTTGACTTGCGAACACACGATGTTAAATACTTTTCGAAATAAGATTTTCTGTTTGAGTCTATTAATTTAAAAGTAAAACGTTATCTATTAATTATGAATTCAGATCATAAAAAGTTAGATCTATACTTACAAATACGTTTCTCATTAAAAATTATTTTTATTGAGAACAGATCGATTTTAAATCAATTAAAAAAGAGAAGGATTTTATTATATCGGACATTTGCGCGAAATTGTGTCCATCGTTTTATACGTAAAGACGCTTGACAAAAGCAGTGAGCATTGTTTAAAAACAAACTTGTTAACAAATTTATCACAATGTAAGATTCGTTTACACTCGCAAATTATTTAATTTACAAAGATAAATTTTTTTAAATTAATCGTTTGATTCGTGCGAATACCCGAT